TTTCAAAGTCACGAGAATTTCACTATGAAAGAAATTTAATGCTCACGAGATTGTGAACTTGAAAACATGAACATGAAACATCCATCTTGTGAAAGAATTACAAACTAAACAAATATGAAGAATTGAACTCCATTCTATGGCCTAAACCCTACATTAAAACCTAACGCGTGAACCTTAGGCATCCAAGTGTGAAGAATTAAACTCCAATCTTGAGCTTAAACCCTAGAGTGGAACCTAAGGCATCCAAGTGTGAAGAATTGAACTCCAATCTAAGGCCTGAATCTTAGATTAGAACCTAAAATGTGAACCTTAGGCATCCAAATATGAAGAATCAAACTCTAATCTAGAGCCCGAACCCTAGATTGGAATCTAAGGCTTGAACCGTAGGCTTATAAAAGATGAAAAAATTGAATGCGAGATTCGAAGACATATAAACAATCATCTCATAAAAACATGAAGAATTGAATGCGAGATTTAAGATTGAAACATGAAAGAAAACAAGCATATCACGAAATTATCAAGAACACCTCAAATACTTGAAATAAAGGTACGCAAAATATATTGATTGCAAGTATATACGAAAAGTACAGGATAAATTATTATTGAGCCCACGGGCCTCCATTAAGTACAGACCATAATAAGGGGAAAAAGTCAAAAGACATAATGAAAAAGTAATTAACAGCATCAACAACACTTCTCCCGTCAGCATCAGTAGCTTTATTTCCATCTTCCTCTATGGCATCCATAGTTGTATCTCTTACACCCTTCATAGCAACATTAGGAGTAGCTTCCACCTCCATAGGATCCTCCCAGTTTTCCATATCAACACTTTTATCTTCTTTGGTGGCCTCATTTGTCCTCATTAGCACATAAGCTTGAACAAAATAATGATAATGAACCCCACAGAGATAGACTCCATCAAGATTCACTAGTCTAACATGACCAAGTAAATTATTATGGGTTTCCTTTGTATACGCTACCCAAATGGGTTGATATTGTTTGCATTCAAAGCCAAAAAAGTATTAGAATATAGGGGTGTAAATGGGTCAGCAGGCCTAACAGATGATTATGGCTCGGCCTACATCAAGGAAGTCTCGGCCTATTGCATAAAGTCAAATATAATAGGATCAGGCCTAAAAAAACCTATATAGAAAGCAGGCTATAGACTTTATTTTATATGTCGGGCCTATACGCCTATAGGTCGGCTTATATCATATTATTTATTTTAAATAAAATATTTAAAATAAATAAATTATTATTTTAATATTTTGGAATAATAAAATAAAAAATTAATTATTTTTTTTAATTATTGAATGTCTGATAGGCTTAAACAAGCTAATAAGCCTAGGCCAAGGCTTTTGTTTTTTAAATATAAAACAAGCCAGCCTTATAATTAGAGTCTACACATGCTAACAGATCAGGAAAAGCCTCAAGTATTTTACATAGGCTTGGCCTATTTAAGCCAAAGCCTAGCCTGACCCGGCCTATTTACACCCCTATTTGAATCCGTCAAAGTTTTCACTTTGGTCTGCAGTTGTGTCACCTCTTGAGCTAGATCATCACGTTCCTTCAAGGCGTCATCACACTCTTTCTTTGCAACATCTCAAAACTTCTTCGATGACCCTTTCTATAACACCTCATATTTCTAAATGTATAATTATATGTGATAATGTTGATTAAAAGGGTAGGATTAGTGAAAATTCAGAAATTAGAGCCAAAGTACATAGAAAGGGCAAAATGGTAATTTACCAAATACGTATCCCTAGGTATAAAAAATTGAGTAGAAGGTCTCAAATGATAAAAATAAGGCCGGAAATGGATTCAGGACGAAAAATCGAGTTGATAGGAACGTTTTAGAAATTTTGATGAATAGTGATTTTTCCGGGGTAAAATACTGCGGTATAATTGTACTGATAAGCGCGAAAATATTGTAAGTATTTTTAGGAAACAAAAATATGACATGAACGAGAAAAATACGTAGGTTATGAATTTGTGGTTTAAATTAGGTGATTTATTAAAGTTAATTCGCATGTGGGACCCACATATGGTCTTAAGTGACTTAAGTGACCCTTTTAAGTTTGAAAAATCTGATTCTCTCTCCTACTCTCTTCTTCTCTCCCGCGGACTTTGACACGAGCTGTCAAACTCGCGCAAATTAAAAATTATTATTTTTTATTTAGGGTTCAAAAAATTTGCAGTAAAGTGGTAACTCTAAGTCGTCTCTCAAGGAAATTGTCTGGGTAAAAATTGATTATGAAAACAGAAAATAAAAAGGGGGGGTTTTGGATTTTGGTTGAATAATTAAAAGACAGAATATAAAAATTGGGATTAAAAATTCGTAATTAAAAATTAACCAACCTAAGGTTAGGGTTCCTAGGCTGTCCTTCCTTGGATAAAAATTACCAAATTCGCGATTAATCTCAATTGAATCAGAATTCTTATTTCCAATGGAAAACAATCTGATCATCAAAATCTGATGATCATTCTTTTTCCATAAACGCAATCGCGAACCTCAGATCAAATATCCACAATCGCACGATATCGATCTGAGTTAGGGTAAAGAAACGAATTTGGTTAGAGAATGATCGCAAATCCCCTAGACAGATCCATGGAATCCCTTTCCCTTAGGTTGATTAAAGGGGTTTTAGCCTAGCATGACTAGGATAAACATAATTAAAAATTAAATTTAAATAAAATAAAATAAAAGAAGAAAAAGATGAAGAACGCAAAGAACGCTTCAGAGAAAAATACTTTGATCCTCAAATTCGAAAATTACAGAATGAATAATAGTTTCCTACTTTGCCGTCATATACCCCTACCCAAATCGGGTTAGGGCTCAGTTCTGATCGGCCCATCTGTCTACAATACGAAATAAAATAAAATAAAACTAAAACTTGGCTTTGGGCCACTTAAGTAATTGGATTTTAATTTAAATTACAAGTCCAATAATTAAATAAAAATTCAGCAAAACGCGTCCAACTTGGCGTCAGAAATAGTCCAGCTTCCAGTCCGAACTGGGCTTCGAGATCTTCATAAGAATTGTAACCCCCTGTGTTATCTGAAAAGCACAACAAGAACGGAGTCAATCTGACAACTGTGGATCAAGATATGGCCAAAATACAGAAGTAACGTAAAGTTGAAAAATTCTGACGAAAATAAATTAAACCCAATCAAAAACTAAAAATCTAAATTAACTCAAAAGATCATTATTTTATTCAAATAAATCCTAAAAATACTAATCTAGAGTAACAAATAAGTGCAATAAAATATGAGTTATCAAATTTCCCCACACTTATCTTTTTGCACTCCTGGGCAAAAACTAGAATAGAAAAAGAAAGTAAAGAAATAAGAAAAGAGTGAAGATCAACCTATCATTCCTAATAATTAGCAAGTATACAAAAAATCACGAAGTCTTGAACAGATAAAACAACCGGGACAAAATTTCCTTAATCTTAAATCACAAGATCTGTCAATTTCAATTGCAACTGCAAACTACACAAAAATGGTTCCTCACAGGATACTCTCAATTTTCTCTCAAGTGTATCAGTTAATTCAGTATATCACTCAAATCAACTCAAGAAAATCATCCTACCATAGGCTTGCTCAAGTTCTACTTCTCCACTGCTAATATCACATGCATGCACAAATCAAGAGGGCTTTATGCAGGGTTGTAATGGGGTTGAGGTAAGGGTATGGATGAATATGGAAGAGAAAGCTAAACACCCCAGAAATTTACAAAGAGAAAAAGTTAAGAACTAAAATAAGAACATAAAACGAAGATAATGAAAAGATAGAGAATAACACATTTTTTATTTTATTTTTTGCTTTTTTTCTCTCTTTTTTTTTATCTCTTTTGAAACAATAATACATGGTTACCTCCCACACTTAGACTTTGCACGTCTCGGGCAAACCCCCACACTTAAACAAAACACTACAGTAAAACCAATGCTCAGTAAATCTCCGGGATATGGAATTAATTGGTTTTTCACTTAGGCTTGTAATGTGGCTAAGAAACAAGGGTTACATAAGGCACAAAAGGGCTAACCAAGGGAATACAATGCAAGGATGGCTATTTGGCTAAAGTGGGAAAGAAAAGAAAGAATGCCTCAATCATATTCATGCATGCAAGTGAAAAATGCAGTTTCAAAAAGAACAAGAGCAAGTTTTAGAGGACAACAATCAAGAGCAGAATCACACAAGAAAGAAAGATTGGCCTACAGATGAAGACCATGTCTACAGGCTCAAAACCTCACAAGGGTATACCAAATCATGCAATCAGCAGCACAGTATCAAGGAATAAGTAATGCAATCCAAGAATCAAGAACAAAGCCTAAACAGAAATTACTATCAAACCCTGTGATTTAAGTATAATCCATGTATAACTCACTAATCATAAGAGAACAAGAAAATCAATCAACTCCTTTGTATTTTTTTTCTTAAATCCAAACATGAAAAACAAAGCTAAGAAAGGAAGTGAACTCCCTGTCCTCCTTAAGGAGGGTAAACAACATCAAGCAGCCGAAGCTCTGCATCCATCTGTGTCTCTACAAGCTGCTGCTGTGCTCCTTCATAAAAGGGCTTCAGACGATGCCCATTCACAGTGAAAGTGTTTCTAGTATGCTTATCACTTAATTCAACTGCACCATAAGGAAAAATATCAGTAATAACAAAGGGGCCATCCCATCTTGATCTAAGTTTACCAGGCATGAACTTAAGACGGGAATTGAATAACAACACATTCTGGCCCACTGCAAATTCTTTCCTCAGGATATGCTTATCATGGAATGCCTTTGTCTTTTCCTTGTATATGCGTGAGCTCTCATAGGCATCCAAACGAAGCTCCTCTAACTCTTGCAGTTGTAGTTTCCTTTCTCCCCCTGACTGGATTAGGTCCATGTTACACTGCTTCACAGCCAATATGTCCGATGCTCCAGCTCCACTGGTAGGTGACATGCCTTACCATAAACAAGCTGGTAAAGGGACATCCCAATCGGAGTCTTCTAGGCAGTCTTGTATGCCCACAAAGCACCTTCCAACCTCTTGCTCCAATCTTTTCTATTAGCATTGATAGTCTTCTGAAGGATTTGTTTAACCTCTCTGTTTGAAACTTCAGCTTGACCATCTATCTGTGGATGGTATGCTGTAGCTACTTTGTGGAGGACTTCATATTTTTTTAGTAAGGCATCCATGCTCCTATTGCAAAAATGTGAGACCTGGTCACTGATAATAGCTCGAGGAATGCCAAACCTGCAGAAAATATAAGAATGGATAAAATCTACAACAACAGCAAAATCATCAGTTCGGGTGGCTTTCGCCTCAACCCACTTAGAAACATAATCCACAGCTAAGAGTATGTAAGCAAAACCAAAGGAAACAAGAAAGGGACCCATAAATCAATACCCCAAACATCAAAAACCTCACAGAAAAGTATAGGGTTTTGGGGCGTATCATGTCTACGGGAAATACTACCTGCTCTCTGACAATTAGTACAAGACTTACAAAACTCATAAGCATCATGAAATAAAGAAGGCCAGAACAAACCAGAATCTAGAACCTTCCTAGCAGTTCTTTGTGGTCCAAAATGACCACCACAGGCAGATGCATGACAAAAATTCAAAACAGAAAGAGTCTCATTGTCAGGCACACATCTCCTAACCACTTGGTCACTACAAAATCTCCACAAATAAGGATCATCTCACACATAATATTTAGACTCACTTTTCAATTTCAAGATTTGAGCCTTAGTGGAGTCAACAGGTAATGCACCAGCAACCAAATAATTAACTATATCAGCAAACAAAGGGAACTTACCTTGCAGCTGTAAAAGCTGCTCATCAGGGAAATCATCCCCAATAGGTATAGGGTCAGATGGAAGAGAGGTGATGCGGCTAAGATGATCATCAACTTGTTTTCCGCTCCACTTCTATCCTTAATCTCAATATCAAACTCTTGGAGCAGCAACATCCACTGGATGAGTCTAGGCTTAGCATCTGCTTTCTTTAAAAGAAATTTCAAAGCTGCATGGTCAGAGAAAACAATAACCCTGGTATCTAACAGATATGACCGAAACTTATCAAGAGCAAATACTATAGCCAAGAGTTCTTTTTCAGTGGTTGTATAGTTGGATTGGGCAGAATCCAATGTCCTGGATGCATATGCAATGACATGTGGGGCCGTGTTGACCCGCTGAGCAAGAACAGCTCCAACAGCATAATTGGATGCGTCGCACATCAACTCAAATGGGAGAGACCAATCAGGTGCACGGATCACAGGAGCTATGGTTAAGCAGCGCTTCAGATGATCAAAAGCTGCCTTGCATGCATCACCAAACTCAAAGTCAATGTCTTTCTGGAGGAGGTTGGATAGTGGGAGAGCAATCTTGCTAAAATCCTGAATGAAGCGCCTGTAAAAACCTGCATGGCCAAGAAATGAACGAACTTCCCGCACAGAAGCGGGGTAAGGCAAAGCAGAAATAACATCAATTTTAGCAGGATCCACTTCAATACCCTTTTTAGAGACAACATGCCCTAAAACTATCCCTGACTTAACCATGAAATGACATTTTTCAAAATTCAACATAAGATTGGTTTGAATGCATTTGTTCAAAACTCTACCCAGATTACCCAAACATGCATCAAAAGAAGAGCCATAGATACTAAAATCATCCATAAAAACTTCCATGCAATCCCTAACAACTCAGAAAAGATGCTTACCATTCAACGCTGAAAAGTACCTGGTGCGTTGCAAAGTCCAAAGGGCATCCGCCTGTATGCATATGTGCCAAAGGGGCATGTGAAGGTCGTCTTCTCCTGATCCTCAGGTGCAATGTGGATCTGAAAGTAGCCTGAGTATCCATCCAGAAAACAGTAGTGGGATTTACCAGCCAACCGCTCCAACATCTGATCAATGAATGGAAGAGGATAGTGGTCCTTGCGGGTTGCCTGGTTGAGCCTACGGTAGTCTATGCATACTCTCCAACTGTTTTGAGCTCTTGTTGTAATCAGCTCATTATTCTGATTGGTAATCATAGTGACTCCCGACTTCTTAGGGACCACCTGAACAGGACTAACCCATCGGCTATCAGAGATGGGGTAAATCATTCCAGCTTGCAAGAGTTTTGTTACTTCCTTCTTCACCACATCTAGAATCAGTGGGTTCAAACGCCTTTGGGGCTGTCTCACTGGTTTACCTCCTTCTTCAAGTAGAATATGGTGCATGCATGGAAGACTAATGCCAATAATGTCAGCCATTGTCCACCCAATTGCCCTCTTATTTGCTTTCAGCAAAGTTAACAGTTTATCCTCCTGCTCAGGTAGAAGGTTCTTTGCCACAATGACTGGTAGCTGCTCATTCTCTTCAAGGAATGTATATTCAAGTGGTCAGGCAGAACCTGCAACTCCAATTTCGGAGGCTGTTCAATGGATGGAAGAGGTGTAGTTGGTGGGGAAAATTCTACAGAAAACAAGTCGGCAGCTATGCCTGTAAACAAATTCTCAGAAACAGAATTAGGATCATCAATAATATCAGCAGGCAATTCAGATAATGCAGATTCACACTCAGAATCAGATTCATCAATCAGTGCATCATTAAAACTAGAAAGATGTGATGATATTTCAGCACACACAATGCACTCTTGACTATCACCACAACCACGGAAATCAGAATCATTAGTAGATGAAAAATTAGAAAAATCAGAAAAATCAGCAAGGAATTCAGCAGAAACATCCTCAACAACTTCATCTATCACATCAATGCAGAAAACATAATGCTCTTCCAAAGGATGTTTCATGGCATCAAATATATTAAAATGCACAATGCTATCACCAAACTCCATGGAAAGAGTACCAGAATTAACATCTATCTTGGTCCTAGTTGTTCTCATGAAAGGCCTACCAAGTATGATTGGTGATCTATTAGTAGCAGTCTCATTCTCCATTTCTAAAATGTAGAAGTCAGCAGGAAAAATCAAATTATTAACCCTGACCAATACATCCTCAATCAAACCAGATGGGTGAATACTACTCCTATTAGCTAACATAACCACAATACTAGTAGCACGCAAAGGACCAAGACCAAGAGACTTATAAACAGATGCAGGCATAACATTAATGGAAGCTCCTAAGTCTAGCATGCAATCATCAAAAACAGAATTGCCAATCACACAAGGAATAGTAAATGTCCCTGGATCTTGACACTTTTAGGCATAGGCTGGATGAGTGCCGATACATTCTGACTCAGGTTAACCTGTTCATCTCCCTTCAGTCTCCTCTTGTTGGTGCACAGCTCCTTTAGAAACTTGGCATATCTCGGAATCTGCTGTATTGCATCCAGCAGAGGGATGTTCACCTCAACTTTCCGGAAGGTGTCAAGTATCTCTTTATCTTGAGCCTTTGCTGACTGCTTCTTTGACTGAGTGGCTCTCTGAGGGAATGGCAAAAGGATATGGACATCAGAAGTATCAGTGCTCTGCTTCTTGGAGCTAGTGTCACTTCCCTTAGATGACTCAGCAGCAGTGTGGTTTGGCTCTTCCATTTGCTTGCCAGACCGCAGAGTAATAGCACTCACATTTCTGCTTCCTTTTGGATTTGGAACTGTTTGGGATGGAAGGGAGCTGCCACTTGCTTGTTGATTTTGACTCATTGATGTTGCAAGTTGGCCAATCTGTGTTTGCAGATTCTGGATGGAAGACTCAGTCCTCTGCTGGAACTGCAGATTGTTAGTTGCCATCTGCTTGACTAAATCCTCCAAAGAAGGACCATTTCCAATAGCTTGCTGCTGCATTTGCTGCTGCTGCGTTGGTGGCTGCTGCATTGGTGGCTGCTGCATTGGTGGCTGCTACACTTGCTGTTGAGGTGCAAATTGTTGAAAATTCTGCCTCTGTTGTGAAGGTACAAACTGCTGCCTCTGCTGGAATGGTGCACTTTGCTGATTCTGCTAGAATGGTGCACTTTGCTGATTCTGGTTCCATTTGAGATTTGGATGATTTTTCCAGCCAGGATTATATGTATTGGAGAAAGGATTGTTTTGCTGCCGCTGGTATTGTGGCTTTGCAGGAAAAACTGCAGCAACAGACTGATGAACTTGGAAACCACTATCTTGGAAGGAAGGACAAGTATCCGTGGGGTGAGAAGGATCATAGCAGATGCCACACAGGTTGCTTATCTGTTAAGCAGAAGGTTGCACAGTCTGTGGCACTGCCAACTGCCTCACCATTGATGTCAACTCATCAAGTCTGTTTTCCATTCTCTGGTTATCTGTGCTTGATGCTCCTGCTGCTGCCACTATTGGATTTTGCATTGGAGGAGCTCGCACTTGGAACACTGCACTGCTGTTTTCTCTAGTGCCAAATTGTTGAGCATTAGCTGCTATCTCAGTAATCAACTCTTTTGCTTCATCAGTTGTTTTATTGCTCAGGACTCCTCCACTAGCTGCATCTAAAAAGTTCTTATCCATAGGCAGCAACCCTTCATAGAAGTAAACAATCAGGAGATTTTCTGGAATCTGATGATGTGGACAGCTTGCACAAAGCCTTTTGAACCGCTCCCAATACTCATGCATGTTCTCCCCATTAGCCTGTCTTATTCCACTGATCTCCTTTCGGATTGTGGTGGCCCTGGATAAAGGGAAGAATTTTTCCAGAAATAATCTGGACATGTCATTCCAGCTTACAATGGAGGAAGGTGGCAAGTAGTATAGCCAGTCCTTAGCTCCACTGTCTAAAGAGAAAGGAAAAGCACGCAGCTTGATTTGTTCCTCATCCACCCCTGGTGGCTTCATAGTGCTGCAGACTATATGAAATTCCTTCAGATGTTTGTGAGGATCCTCACCTGCAAGACCATGAAACTTGGGAAGCAAATGTATCAGTCCAGACTTAAGCTCAAAAGGTACAACGGGATTAGTATAACGAATACACAGGGGCTGCTCATTATCAACATTAGGAGCAGCCAATTGCTTAAGTGTTCTATCACCTATGATTTCAGAATCAAATAAATTACCAAACGAATAAACACTATGTAAAAGACTCGAAGAAACAGACAGAACAGACTCAGACTCTAAGGTATGCTCAGGAACAGCTCTACTGTAAGTCAACCTATGAGCTCTACTAGCAGCATGCAATGATCTCTCTATCTCAGGGTCATATGCATATAAATCGTCAACACTGGTAGTACTCCTAATCATGCATCATAGGCAAAAGCATACAGCAGTAAAGTTGCAAAACATACGATAGAACACAAAAATTGAAGAAAATAATAAACAGAAGAGAAAATAAATCTATGAAAAATACTAAATGAACTCAGAATGATATGAGACCAACTCTTCTAAACTCTAAATGACCTTACAGACTCAAAAATCAAATAAATTTTTTTCAAAAAATAAAATAAAATAGTAAACGAACGAATTCGGTGAAACTAGGGCCCGATACTAGAGGCATAGCCCCACAATTTTTGACAAGGATGATCTTCTTCTTCAGGTCACCAATTTTCAGATCGATCAAAGTAAGTCAAACAAATCCAAAAATACCCGATACGTCCTGAAACGACAAAGAAACACAAAAACGGGTTAGTAAATGACAGAATTTGGTAAAATTAAGGGTCACCTCACACCCTTCTAAGGTGTGACTTATGCTCAGAAGGTCGAATTCCTTTGGGAATAGAACTCTTGAAGCCAATCTCTCAAACAGAAGTTTTATCGATTTCCCCAAAACTGCCCAAAACGTAAACCGTAATGCAGAAAACGCAAAAACTGAGAAAAGACGCGTGTGCAGAATCAAATTCCAATGTAGAATCAAAGGTGCAGAAATCGAAATCAGAAACACAAACGAGTGCAAACACAGAAACAAGATAGATGGGTAAAAAAAAAATTTAAGTATTTTTTTTTAGAAACAGAAACGGAAATTAAAGAAGAAGAAGAAGATGATGATCAAATTCAGAAAACGATTTAGACCGATGCAATTTCCCCGGCAACGGCGCCAAATTTGACACGAGCTGTCGAACTCGCGCAAATTAAAAAAAAATTATTAGGGTTCAGAAAATTTGTAGTAAAGTGGAAACCCTAAGTCATCTCTCAAGGAAATTGTTTTGGTAAAAATCGCTTATGATGACAGAAAATTAAAATGGGGTTTTGGATTTTGATTGAATAATTAAAAAGGCAAAATATAAATTTTGAATAAAAATTCATAATTAAAAATTAACCAACCTAAGGTTAGGGTTCCATGGACGTCTTTCCTCGGATAAAAAATGTCAGAATCGTGATTGATTGTCAATTGAATCAGAATCCTTATTTCCAATTGACGACCCTTTCTAAGCGATCGCTTAGCATTTGATCAAATACGGTGCTTCTACTCATACAATCGCAGAGTATCAGCCCGTTTGATTTAAGGTCATAGGGTCAATCAATCTAATCATCAAATCTGATGATTAATTCCTTTCCATAATCGCAATCGCGAACCTCAGATTGAATATCCACGATCGCACGATATCAATCTGAGTTGGGAAGGGAAACAAAATTGATTTACAATAAAGCGCAGACCCTCAAGACTAATCCATGGAATCCGTTTTGATTAAAAAGTTCTTAGCCTCGCATGGCTAAGGTAAACATGATTAAAATAAAAAGAAGAAGACGAAAAAGATGAAGAACACGAAGAACGCTCCAGAGAAAGTGCTTTGATCCCAAAATACGAAAATTCAGAATGAATAATAGTTTCCTACTCTGCTGTCATATACCCTTACGCAAATCGGGTTAAGGTTCAGTTCTGATTGGCCCATCTGTCTAAAATACGAAATAAAATAAAATAAAACTTGGATTTGGGCCACTTATGTAATTGGGTTTTAATTTAAATTACAAGTCTAAAACTTCAGCAAAACGTGTCTGACTTGGCGCAAGAATTCCATCATCTTCTAGTCCGAATTGGGCTTTGAGCTCTTCATAAGAATTGTAGACCTCTGTGTTATCTGAAAAACGCAATAAGAAAGAAGTCAATCCAACAACTGTGGACCAAGATATGGCCAAAATACAGAAGTAACGTAAAGTTGAAAAATTCTGACGAAAATAAATTAAACCCAATCAAAAACTAAAAATGTAAATTAACTCAAAACATCATTATTTTATTCAAATAAATCCTAAAAATACTAATCAAGAGTAACAAATAAGTGCAATAAAAAAACCACTAGGGTTAGCCTAGTGGTGTGGGGTGTGTGTGTTAGGAGTGTGTGTAGTGTAAGGTGTTGTGTTCAATTCCTTGTAACCTCAAAAAAACAAATAAGTGCAATAAAATATATGAGTTATCATGGTGGTCAGAGGGGTGGTCATTCCATCATACACTTGCTTATGCTTTTCCTTGCCCCACCAAAACTTTTCCACTTGTGCGTAGAATCTCCTCAACTACACAATTCCAACCTCGCTTTTGTCTTTTTTGCAATGATTAGGAGTATGTTTTCTTGAAGATGGGTTTTTACTAGAAAAACTGAAATTGAAAATGCGTAGAATTGGGCTTCTGTGTTGGGGATCAACTTGGGGCTTAGGTTCCTTTGCAACCTTGAGGTCACCACCCCAAAAGCTAGCTCAAATGGTGGAAGTGCTCAAGGTCTTATAAACTTCACATTAGTTGCACAATACAACTAATGTGGGACTATATATCTCAACACGCCCCCTCACATGAGAGTCCATTGGGTTTGAAGAGTGGACAATGCAACAGGCCCAGCCTACCTGTGCTAAGAAACACCACAAGAGAAAGTGAGGGGCGGCGAGGCTCTGATACCATGTTAAGAACCTTAAGGTCACCACCCCAAAAGCTAGCTCAAATGGTGGGAGTGTCCAAGGCCTTATAAACTCCACATTAATTGCACATACAACCAATGTGGGACTATATATCTCAACAACTTGATTACGAGGAATGGGTAACCTTGGACGGGTTACCCCTTTTTTCTTCCTTTATTTTTCTTTTCTGATTCTGCCCTCACTTCCTTTTGTTTTTCCTGTCTTGTCCTTCGGTGCAATTGCTGAAATGAGTTTGCTATCTACCCTCCTCTCCTGGCTCATATGGGCTGCCTTTGGACTTTGAGCTTGGGTTTTAGTTTTTTCTGAAATGGAAACATAAAAGCACATTAACTGATTTCTTTTTTTGGGCTAAAAGTGTATTTTCAAATAAATAAAAAATTGAATTGCTCAAATGCAAATAAAAAGCTAAAAGTGTATTTGGGATAAGTGAAATTGGGTTTCTAAACACTTTTAATCAAATAAAAAACTGGCCCAATTTACACTTAAGCATTTGGTACGGGAGATATTTTTTTTTATCGAAAATTTTTTTTGCCAAGAATATGGCGGGATTTTTTTATCTCGAACAAGTTACAAAAAGGTGTTTGGTATGCTAAATTTTTTGCCGGAATTGTTGAGTTATTTTATAATGCTATGTTTTGTTGGTTGTGAAATATATATAGGAATGTGGAATAAAATTTCCCACAGTGTTTGAAAATTTGTTTTAAACGTTCTTTTTATAATTAGGTGTCTCCGTCTTGATTTGTTAAACAAGATGACCGTGTTTTTAAACAAGTTTCAGACCACAAGTTTTATTAAACAGTATAACACATCTATTCAGGGCATTTCTGCCACAAATTTTATAAACAAGATTCTCGGTTCATAGAATAAAAAAAGACACCACAGTTTGAATGGTATTTTTTGTGCCAATATCCGTGAGAAATATTTTATACCGACACTTTTTAACTTATTTCATACTCAACATGATAAACATTTTTCCCCCACTCCACTTTCTCAGATTCTATCAAAATTTTCATACCAAACTTTAGAGTCTCTTTTCAAAGACTCAACAC